AATTATTATTGTTATTGCTATTATTAAAACTATTGTTCAAATTTAAATTAATATTATTATTGTTTTCTATATTATAATCTCTATATGTTATATGGTTTATATTAGCTATATTATTACTATTGTTCATACTATGATTATAAAAATTATTATAGTTATAATTATTACTATAGCTACTGTTATTATTGTTATTATAACTATTCATATCACCATTGTTACTATTATCATAAGTTATATTGTTTGTATTGTTCATATTTATATTATTATTATACATGTTATTGTTCGTATTATAGTTGCTATTATTATAGTTATCATTATTATACATGTTGTTGTTCGTATTATTGTTGTTATTATTATTATAGTTATTATCATTATTATCATTATTATTATTATAGTTATTGTTATCATTATTATTATTATAGTTATTGTTATTATTATTATTATTATTATAGTTATTGTTATTATTATTATTATTATTATTATTATTATTATTATTATTATTATTATTATTATTATTATTATTATTATTATTATTATTATTATTATTATTATTATCATTATTATTGTTATTTATATTATAGTCTTTTAAATTATATAAATTATAAATTCTTTCAGATATTTGACTACCAATCTTTTGTTTTTTATTACCTTTTGATATAAACTCCCTTTCTGTAAATAGGTTAATTTGCTTTTCTTCATTGTAAACAATTGTTTTATTTTTTGGTTTTTTTTGTAAACTTTTGTATTTGTTATGAAGTTGAATCGGAGTTTTATATTTTTTAATTATCGAATATGTTTTTTGGGGAGTCATGCCAGGAATTTGTAAAAGCTGTAAAGCAAATTGATCTTTTAAGGATAATGGAGTTTCCATTATATTGATATAATCTTCGTATTTTAATGGAGAGAGATATCTATATTTTGAAATAGCTTCATAAACATTTATTAAATATACACAGGTTGATGCTGTTGATTCAGTGACTTCAACCGTAAATTCATCGTCTATTTGTGTATTGAGCAGTGCTTTCATATAGTCATCGAAATTCATTTGGCCTAGATCGATCGAACCTTCCACCAGATAGATCAAATTCTTTATTCCATATTTTTTTAATTTCTTTAATTGAAACTTTTGTTGTTTAAAACGACCATCTTTTAATGAGCTGGATAGATCCGGTATTGCTTTTCTTTCAATGACTATATCAGCAAGTAATTCAAAAGTGTACGTTGGGTTGTTTCGGTATCTGCATCGAGCAGTGAATATAAAATCACCAATTGGTAGTTGACGTAGTTCGTATCTAAGGTGAGGTTTTGTTGATAATGCTTTAATAAGTTCTGAATTTGACTTGTCTTTTGTCTCCCTATTATCTATAACCAATACCACTTGTTCAATAATTAAATTTTTTTCTGGATAAACAGCGTCTTTAGTTTGACTAGTTGGTATTGCTGAGTTATTGCACATAAAATCTGTTAATTCTTCGTCACTATCAGTCCACACATATAACATACTATCATCTTTTTTCTTTTTGGTATCTAATATCGGTTTATCAAAAAGAGTGTCTTCTTCATCAGAGTCTTGATAGTAACCAGCAGGATTTGATTTATCTTTTAAAAAATTTTTAATTACATTATAACCATCTTGAGTTAGTGAATATTTGGTTCCCATTTTCTTTATATATTTATGCTTTGTAGTTAAATTTCTGCAATTTGAGGCCCATATATTATCGAAATTTTCAATTTTACTGATATATTTTAAAGTTGCTTCGTGAAATTTTGCTTCATCTTTTGTTAAATCTGGAGTATTTGATTGTTGAGCTTCATAAAATATCATTAATAGGCTATATGGACCAGAACCAACCTTTGGAAAATATGGTAGGGTTGCTTTATTATTATTTTTTTTTGATGATTTTGGCGATATTATTTTATTTTTATCTTTTGATTCTCGATTGTTCCGAGTCGATTTATTTGGAGAATTTGTTTTATTAAACATACTATTATTATTAATGTTGTTATTATTTGTATTGTCCATGCTATTATTATTTGTATTATTTGTATTATAATTGCCATCATCTATGTACAATCTAAAACATTTTGAATTAGTTTTAAGCATGTCGAGTACTAAAAAAACTGATACTTTGTGTTTACACCATTCTCTCCCTTGAGATGGACAGCTACATTTATCTCCAACCAATACATTATTTTCATTATAATTAAAAGTTAAATTATAGGTGATATTTGTATTACTATGACTTTCGCTTACTGCTTCAAACTGATTTTTTTCTGGGCTGAAATGCATTGACTGTATTCCAAGATTTAAAACCTTCTCTTTTGAATAGTTAAAAACATTTTCTGTACATTTTTTCTTTATATCATCTATTGTTAAATATGGGTATCCTCTTTCTGGCTGATTTGGAATTCCATCGAATCCATCCATTGGAAAATCTATTTCTTCATTAAAATAATCTTTAAAATTTGGGTTTAGTTTTTCAAATTCACAATATTCTATAGTTTATAAATGTTAGTAAAGGTTAGTAAATGCTGGATAAATGTTTTAAAAGTAATGAATAATTTACCTTTATATTTTTCAATTTCTTTATTTATTGCTTTAGCATGACCACTCGGAAAGCCAAGATTCTTTAAATCTTCTAAATCTATATTAACAATAGTTTGCAAATCATCAAATGCTTGTGATGCTAATTTTGAAAGATAGGATTCCAATAAAAAATTATTATTACAAATTGAAACAACTGATGATAAAATTGCTCTAACAGAATTGGGCTTTTTATCTAAAATAAAAAAATATAGTTTTAAATTATTAAAAAAACTATAACATTGATAAAATGATAAATGGGGATTTGGTACATACAGCCTTCAAATACTTTTGGTATTTTCGCCATGGTTTTTTGATCTATTTGGGTATTATTATTGGTATCGATATTCATATTCGTATTCAAATTCATATTCATATTATTATTATTAAAACCACCATTTTCTTTTTTCCTATTGTATTCCCTTATTATATGACCTATTAACTCTATTGTTTTGCTACCAACACCTTGTATACATTCTGCATCCTTTGCCTTTTCTATGGGCATTGGAAAGCCCCGAATAATTTCAGCAACTTTAAATAAACCTTTTCTAAAATATGGGCTGAAAATATGTTCTGCTTTAATTTCGATTTGATTTGCAATAAATTTATTAATAACTAAATCATTTTCTTTATTTATTACCATTATTTATTATGTAGATTGATTTATTATATAATTTATAAAATCTTTTGCAAACAAAAAGAAATTTAAAAAAAAAAAAAAATTTTCAAAAAAAAAATAAATATAAAAAATAAAAATTTTTTTTAAATTTTTAAAATTAATTATTTTATTAATTCCATATAAGTGCATAAAATGAATTGTTAAATATAAAATAAATTTATATTAAATAGTGATTGTGATTGTTGATTTTGATTTTAGGCGTCTTCTAATTCGAGCCATTGCTTTTCTTCAGAATCAAATACGAAATGGGAGTTTATTGGAGAGTTTAATAACCCAACAAAAGAGTCATCTCTATTTAAAATAGCAGTGATTCTTACTGGTTGGGTATTTCTCTTTATTTGCATATAGCCATCTGGTTCATCGCCAGATGTAAATCTCCATCCACTGTCACTGGAAGAAACTGGATTTTCTCTGTAAATATAGCCTAGGGTTTTGTCTTCATTGTTAAAGTATTCTTTACTGACATAGCATAGTTTTCCAGTCATTGCCATGATTCTGGCTGGTAAGTGGGCTAATGAAGGGTGTACAAATTCATTTGGTTTATCATAAATTGCGATGATATGATAGTCTTTGAAATCAATTCTTGAACCAAGTGAAATTGACTTTATGTTGTATGGTTGGTTATCTAATTTGCCGGTAAAATTAATTGGAGATTGATCATTTTCACCCTTTCTAATTTCCTCAATGGAAAGCCACATCCTTTCAGTGTCTTGATTTTCAGTAAACATTAATTTTACTACATCACCTTTTTCCAAATTTAAAATTTGTTGTCTACTTGGGATTGAAAATGTATATTTATAATTTTCAGCTTTCTCCACTATTATTTTTAAAAAAAAAATTAATATTTAATTTTAAATTTGGCATAAAATAAAATTAAAATTATTTAAAGTATACTTACAGGCATTTTCAATTATATATTCTACTGCATTGACCATTATTATTATTATTATTATTATTACTATTATTATATTTTAATTAATATTATTACTATTACAATATTTATTTGTGTGTTATTATTTTGAATGTGTGTAAAAAATAATAAATTTTTGTTTGAAATTAAAAATAAAAACAAAAAAAAAAACAAAGTTCAAAATACAAAAAATTAAAAATAATAAAAAAAATTAAAAAAAAATAAAAATTAAATTAATAATTTTTTTTATTAGAAAAATTTAAAAAGTTATATTTTTAGAAATTAAATGGATAAAGGAAATAAACAGACTTTAAATTGATTATCGAAAAATAAAGGTAAAATGATCATTTTATAATAAAACACCATTTCGATAAATCATTTTTTTTTTTTTTTTTTTTTTTTTAATACCAATTTTATTTTAATTTAATTTAGTTAATAGTTTTTTCAACTAATTCGATGGTACGATTAAGAATTTGGAAACCTTTAACAAAGTCACCTAATCTAAGGAATTCATTATCAGCATGGTAAACATCTTCAACACCGAAACCAGTGATTTGAATATCCATACCTTGTCTTTGGAGGTTTCTGACTAATGGTAATGTACCGAGAGTAGAAACTGGTTGGTATGGACCAATAGCTTCAGTAGTAGCTTGAACTAATGCCTTGTAACCAGCACTGGTGAGATCACAAGCAATACCTTCATCAACTTCTTCGTGGAAAACTAATTCGATTCTACCTTTGACACCGTATTCTGGGACATCATATTTGCTGTATGGACCTCTTGAACGAAGTTTAGTGATGTTTTCATTTATATCTTTGACATAGGAGGCTACTTTAGCTTTAAGATCGCTGACTTCATAGAATGGACTTAATCTAATATCACCGCAAATGGTGGCTTGGCCTGGGATGGTATTGAAACTACCTTGGATTTCTTTCCAAAGGGTTGGTTTCATGGTGGATGAAATTTCAAAGTTGTATTCTTTTTCTTTTGGATGGGCTGGGAAATCGGTGTAGAAACGTTTTTGGATTTCAGCACAAGCTTCATTAACTAATTCAAGTGAGTTAACGGTTCTGTTTGGCATAGCACTAAAAGAATTTAAAAAATAAAAAACAATTAACATTATTTAATTTTAAAATAACCCCTAAACAAAAAATAAAAATTTACCTATGCATATTTTTACCAAAAGCTGTTAATTCCCAAGTAAGCTAAAAGATATTAAAATTATTATTAGCAATGTTTATAAAAATAAAAATAAAAAGAAAAAGAAAAAGATTTACTTACAGCACCACCAGTGGCAATGGTGTTAAACATATCAGCAGAATCTAACCAGATAACTGGACCATGTTTAAGGTTGTCTAAATAACCAGCTTTTTGGAGATCATCAACACCAATGTTTGGAATATCGGTATTTTCTTCACTAACAATGAAAACAGCAAATACTGATTGTTTTAATTGTGGTTTATGGGTGGCTAATTCAAGGAATAGGTCAGTAACTAAAGCAACATGACCGAGACAATCAGTGGTACCCTATATAGTTATAATTATAAATTGTTAATATTAAATAAACAATACTTTATAGTTAATGTATTAAAAAACTTACACGACCAAAGTATTCATCAGTACCAGTTTTGTGGGTTAATTTGAATGGTGGGGTGGTTGGATCCCATTTGGTTTCATCAGCTGGGACAACATCCATATGTGAACCAACAATTGAAAAGGTTTTTGGGTTGGCAGTACCTTTGCTGGTGCCTGGGTATTCAATGATGACATGACCACGTTCTGGGTAGTTTGCTTTATCTAAATGAATATGTTGAACGTTTAAAACACCACCATTTTCTTTAGTGAATGGTTTTAAAACCTATTTGATTATAATTGAAAAAAAAAATAAGAAAAAGAAAGAAATAATTTGAAATTATTGAAAATTAATATTTGTTTAAAAAATTTGATTAAGCAATTGTACTAAATGAAACATACATCAAGAACTTTGAGTGCAATTAAATCTTCTCTTGGAACAAACTAATGATTGCGGTAGTAATTGAATAATAGTAATAATAATGGTTAGTTAGAATCAATCAATCAATCAAATAGGTATATAAATGAATACAAATATATAGAGTTAATGTATACATACCTTTGGTGGTAAGTTTTGGAGGTTTTTAGACTCAGCAATAAATTTGGTTAATAAAGTAATAAATCTATCTTTATTTAATTCCATTCTGATTGGGTTCATTATGTATTTGTATATTTGTTAGATAAAATGAAAATGAGGAAATTAAAATTTTGAATAGGCATGGTATTTATAGTATTTTTGATTTTGATATTTGGTTTTGATTGAAAAAAAAAAAAAAAAAAAGAAAATAAATTTAGATAAATATTTTGTAAAATGAACATACCCTTTTATTTGTGTTTCTTTAATAAAATTGTATGATGAAAGTAAGGAAAAAAAATCTTTTTTTTTTTTTTTTAATTTTTTTTAATTTTTTTTAAATTAAAAATATTTTTTTTATAAATAATATATTTTTTTTTAATTTTTTTCTGATTGATAAAGAAAATGCTTTAGTGGGCAAGAAATTTCTTTGCCTAATTTACAGCCAATAGTTTATCTTATTTAAAACATTCTGTGTGCCATCCCCAACAATCAAAAAGATATTTAATAATAAATCATTCCATTTTTTTTTTCCAATAATATGAATAAAAATTAAATTTTAGGAAAAAAATATAATAAAACAAATTAAATAAATATATATAGTTTTAAAAAAATGATTAAAAAGAAGACTTTAACCCCACTGACACACACCCACACCCACATAACAAATAATTTATAAAAAAAATAAAAAATAAAAAAAAGGGGTGTTTTAAAAGTATATATTTTATTTCTACAACTGATGTTTTATATTAAATAAAAAATAAATTAACAATTTAAATTATTTTAATAATATTATTCTCCTATTAAAAAAATTTAAATCATTTTTTTTTTATTAATAATTTTCAAATTTATATATTTTTTATACTAATTTATATTTTCTAAATAATAAATTATAATTTATAAATATTTAAAATGCATTTTATTTTTAAATCATTAAATAATAATTTAAATGATTTAATTTTATTATTAACATCATTAATAGGTTCATTTTTTATTTTATTAATTTCACCCATTTTATATTTTTATCAGGTAAAAGATAACAAACAATTTAAAGATCCTAAAACAATTGTAATTACAGGAGCATCAAGTGGATTAGGAAGTTCATTAGCAATAGAATATTCAATTAAATCAAGAGGTATTAAACTTGGATTGGTTGGTAGAAATAAAGAGCGTTTAGAAAAAGTTAAAGATGAATGCGTTAAAAATGGTGCTCAAGTGGAAATGGCATTAATTGATATTACAGATAAAGAGAAATTAGAAAGATGGTTATTAGATTTTAATGAAAGAAACCCAATAGATATTGTTTATGCAAATGCAGCAGTCACTGAATGTAAATATAGTTTAAATATAAATGCAATTAAAATTTAATATTTAAAATTTTTTTTTTTATTATAGTGACATTAAATAAAGATTTAAATTTCAGTGATAGAATTTATAAAACTATTGATACCAATGTTTATGGTATTTTAAATACAGTTTTACCAATATTACCATCATTTCAAGAAAAAAGAAATGGACAGGTAGTTATTGTATCAAGTTTAGCAACCAATACCAACTTCGTTTATGCAGGCTATACAGGCTCAAAAGGATTTGCAACTTCATTTGCATTAACACTTAGAAATAGAATGTCAATGTGTGGTGTAGGTGTTAGCGTAGTATGTTGTGGTTATATAGAAACCCCAATGAGCGAGCCATTACAAGAAGAATTAGTGTTTTCTGTAAAGCCTGAAGAAGCTGCTAAAATTACAATTAGGGGTGTAGAAGCCAATCAAGCATATATAGGATTCTCACGTAGGATGTTAATTATGACCCAGTTAATCCACCTAATTCCAGGAAATCTCAAAGATACCTTTAATAACTTTCTTAACAAAAGTTGGCCTTTCCATGACTATAATCCAATATCAGACAATAACGTCAATATAAATAATAAAAAAATAAACTAATTATAATTCAAAATATATTTAATGGTTTTATAAAGCTATTATTTCTAATAAATTTTATTTTCTTTAACAATGAATTCATACCTTAAGGTTGGTTGTTCATTTTTTCCATTTTTTTATTTACCGATTTAACAAAAGATTTTTCCATTTGTCTCTTCTTAATTACATATGTAACACCAATGGCTGTAACACCTGCAAAAGCAGCGGCACCAATTGCAATACCTACAATTTTTCCAGTACTAAGACCAGAGCTTGGGCAAATTGAACCAGATTTGGATTTGGCATTATATGAATCAATAAGAACAGAGAAATCAGGGTCGAGAGTAGCTTTTTTTGTGTAATTTGGAATTTGAATACCAACATAGGATTGAATTGATGAACTTTTAGAAACAGGATTCATATCTGCATCTAACAATACATTAGAAACTGATTTAATTTGTGAATCGATGATACCTCTTTTAATGAATCTGCCATATAATGAATGATCTTCAACCTGTATTTTAAGATAATTTGAATTATCACCAGATGATGTTTCACCAAACTCTCTTACTGAACAAACCTTTTCTGTTGTATTTGATTGGATTAATGCTGACATTACCAATTGCAATGAATTTAATTGATTATCGAATGGATAGCTTGTAATTTCAATTGTATATTTTAATGTTGATGGGTTCATTAAAAGCTCCTCATTTGCGAATTTAATAGTTGTTTCATTTACAAACCATTTTAGTGTGACTGTTATATGTGTAGTGGTATTGATACCGTCCTTTGTGATATTAAATTGATTATAAAATTCATAAGTATTTGTATTTGTTTGTTTAGATAACCAGTCATCTCCAAATTTTAAAAAGTTTACTTGATTATCGTATATGTCCACCTCTCTTAAAGCTACAATGGAAATTAATGATTGATAAGCTATCACTTTTGTTGAATTGTTGCTACCTGTATTGTTACCTGGAACTATAATTTCGATACTTGGGGTACCCATATTATCATTACTAGAATTACCAGTATTAACCTTTGGTGGTTCTATAACTACAAAATAGGACAAACAATCTAAACCAACCCATGGTGAAATACATACACAACCCTGATTCTCTACACATCTTCCATGTGTTGGGCCGCCACATACTGGATTTCCTGGGCAACTTTGTGGTTTATTAGTTGGGATTGGTGATGCGGTTTCTGGTGGTATTTCTGAAGAACTTGTATAATTGTTCCAATCAAATTCATAAATAGTTGGAGTAATTATTAAAGAATTTGAGTATAATGAATTAAATTTAATATATAAACTGTATGGTTCGGATGATGCTTTAACATTTGAAAATAAAGCGGCAGAACTATAGGCAATACTTGATTTAATGTTTGCAGTTGTACCATCTTTAAAAGTAATGAATGCAACAGAGTCATTTCCTAAACCTCTACCGAAAACCCATAAATTTCCACCCTTTTCTGTGATTGTATAATGTGAAAAAAGATTTGGTTGTGGTGTGGTAAAAGTAGTGCTTAATAAGGAGCTAAATTGACCATCAGTCATGAGATAGGATGTTGGGAATCCATTAAAGAGGCCGTTATTGTTAATAAAACCATAAACTGATAACAAAATATTATCTGGGTAAGCAAAAGCGAATGGAAGTTGAATAGTACATGCATAGTTGGCAGTATATTTATCTATATATGTAATCTTTGAAATACACTCGAGTACTATATTACTTGTAGTTGAAAGATAAACTATTGGATATGTATTGTTCTTAATTCCACTCTCTTTATCTTCGACTGAAAAGGTAAATTCTACGTTTCTATCGGTTTGGCTAACATCAAATAGTGATTTTTGAGTTGAAAATGATGTTAAAACTGGTGGGGTTACATCGTTTGAAGCTACTGGATCTAGTTCACAGGTTAAAGGTATTTTGTTGATTGATGTGTCATTTAAAAAGTAAATGAATGGATTAAGAACTCCTACATACAATGGATTTGGTGCAAATATTGAGAAATATGAATATCTTTGGTTTCTATCGAATAAACCAACTTCACTAATAACATAGGTTTGATTTAAACATGGATACGATATTTTAACCTTGAAATCATATTCACTCAAATATATATTACCACCTGGTTTCATATTATCATAACTAAATGACATATTATAAACCGATTGATCTGAATTACCCTTGATTACAACATAACCGTGATCAAAACCATTTATTGGATCTTCAATAGTTAATGACCAACCAAGCTCACCAACTTTACTGATTGAATCAATAAGGTTTGGTTGGATTTTCTTTATATTTCTAAACTTTGGGCCTTGTAAATCGAAATCTAACAAAATAAAAAAATTAATTAATAAAATATTTTTAAAAGTATTAAAACTAATAATTTTTTTACTTACTTGATTTTTTAATCATCAATGTAACCGGTAAAATTCCACTATAAGCACTTTTTAAATTTGCAACAAGAGCAAAATTAAACACACCGATTTGTGTGTTGGCGTCAACATAAAACTCTATTTGGAACAACTTTAATGTTTCATTATAGGTTGCATAAAACATATTATAGTCTATATTATACGAGACTGTTGGGTTATAAATAGAGGTGGTATCGGAAATGAACATTGCTGCAATTGAATTTTTATGTAGCTGTGAACTATTAAAATATAATATATTGTATTGTCTTCTATTAGTTACGTCGATATCGTTATATAAAAATGAAATTTGATCAATTGTAGATGTATTGACTATAAAAAAAATTTTAAATTAATATTTAGTTTTTTTAAAGATAATTAATATAAAAAATAAACATATTTACAATTTGCTTCAAAAGCTGGGGTTTTGTATATTTTTAAAACTGGGTCTATTGCAAAATAAGTAGGTGAATAAGTAGTCTGCTCACCTCCAAAGTAATCACTCAATACTATACCTACATCCATAATTGTTGATGCTCTGACTTCATATAAACCATATAGTAGATCACCTGATATCAATGATCCTGCTGCTTCAAATTTCTGGCCATTAACAAGAATATAATCCAGTTTATTTGGGGAATTGATTAATAATCTAAGAATGAAAAGTTCGTCAACAAGTTTAACAAATTCAAAATCTACTATTTTTGGTAAGGTAGATTGATCATAGATAAATGTTTTATCTAAAAATATAAAAAATATTAGTTTAAATTGATATTTAAATATATAAAAAATATTAATTTATACTTACTAAAATAAGAAAACTCTAAATAGACACTTGATGGGTCAAAATTATTTGTTATCGTAATATGTTCTTTATTGCCACTCTTTCTTGAAGATCTAACTAAACAATTAGCACTAAAATTATAACCCGATGGGCCCCCATTGGTATAACCAAAAGGCCATGTTTTTATTGTTTCTTTATCTTCAATTTTAATAGTTAATGGTTTGAATTCATAGATCTCGGAATCTGTAAAACCATAATTTATAGTTAAAACATTGTCTGGGTATAATGAATTAATTGCTCCTGTCGATGGTAATGGTTGGGTTGGATCTAAAAATTTAAAAAAAATAATATAAATAACAAAATAAAAAAAATACTGTATTATTATCAATATATTTACATTGATTAATTTTAGCTTGAATCGATTTATTTGCTAAAAAATATTGTTCGTTATTCATATAATATAACTCGTAAAGTGTATCTATACCATAATTTGATAATGGGAGTAAAAAAACGGTACTATTTTCATCACCGGAAACTGGGAAGTATGGAGTTTGAATTGTTGCGCCATTCCAATTAAAAGCAAATGTACTTTTCATAGCAGTATTATTAAGTGTAAATTGAAGAAGAGCACTTTCTCCATAACCCATAGTATCTAAACTACTTAAGTATTCTATATCTGGGTAAGTTTTAATATTATAAATATTATCAAAGATACCTAGTTAAAAAAAAAAAAAAATTTAATATTTATAAAAAAAAAAGAATAAAAAAAATATAAAAATATTAATTACCTTCACCGATTGGCTCTATGGTAATATCAACTATAGTATTATTAGAACGAAAAGATTGAACCACTGGGGAAAAGGCTTTGGTTGTCGGTATTGTCTTTGAATAAAGATATAAAAATTGTTCTGTGTATGGAACATTATATGTTCCTTCTTCGATTGTAAATGCTGCAACTCCAGCTAATAAAATTTCTGGGTTTTGGATACCATTCATCTGGTACAGAGTGACTGTATTTAAACTAAAGGTATCAAAGCTTGGCCAATAAAAATCTGATTTTTTTTCTAATGAAACTATGTTCCAATCAAGTGCTATATTATAATTAAAAGAAAAAAAAAAAAAGAAATTAATAAATTTTTGTGTTTTACAGTGTGGTAGAGTATGTAAGGAGATTTGGTTGAGTTTATTGAATAAAGTAAAAATTATTAAAATATGTGTGAACTTACCAAAGCATCCAAAATTTAATTTCAATAAGGAATTAATTTCAATTGAAAAATTTCCAAGGTCACTTGAAAGACTAACAGTAAAAACATAATTGATTCCATCAGTATATCTAATGTTAACTGAATACAAGAGTGAAGTATCATTAAAAATTAATGAAGAGCATGAATCTCCTGGATCAGTAGGTTTACACAAAATGTAATATCCAAAATAACATTTTGGTGTACCCAAATACTGATATGGAACTTGGTCGGATACTGTAACATCTTGTATAATATAACCAAAGACTATATTACAAATTAAATATAAAACAAAATATTGAAATTTTTTTAACCCTTTTTTTTTTTTTTTTTTTTTATTTAATTATTTTATATATAAATATTATAATTAAATGAAAAAAAATATATTTTTACAACTTATCAAAAAAAAAAAAAAAAAAAAAAAAAGAATGGAAAAATGGAAAGGTGGAAAAAAAATAAATAAAGAAAATTTGTTTAGAAAAAAAAAAAAAAAAAAAAAAAAAAAAAAAAAAAGGAAAAAATAATCTAGATTATTATTTTCCAGCAATGCTCCAAAAATGCATTTTGATAATTAATTAGTTTTGTTTTTTTTTTTTTTTTCGATTGTGTTGGTTTTTAAAAAAAAGATTTTTTGATTTTTTTAAAATATCCAAATTTTTTTTTAAAAAAAAGTATTTATGGCATTTAAAAAGCCTTTCATACCCCAAATTATTCCTTTGCAAATTTTAGGGCTCCATAATTTCATTCATTTTTTTTTTTAAAAATACGGAGAAATTTAAAAACGAATTTTATGAATATTAATAAAATTATAATAATTTTTTTAAAAAAATATAAAAAAAAGAAATTTAATTGGTAATGCCTTGTGAATTTGAAGGGTTTATTGTTGATTATATTCGTTTTTTTTTTTTGGAAGTAGTTTTTTTTTTTTTTTAAAAATACGGAGTGAATAAACCACTGCAATTATTATTGTAATTCAAACCTTTATATAATTTCATTTTGTTATTAAATTTTAAAATAATTTGAAATTTAATTTTTTTTATTTTGGAAATTACAAAGCTGAAGATAATGCAAAAGTATACTTTTTTCTTTCTTTTTTTGTGCCATATTCTTGACCAAATATAAATAATTTTAAGTTCCATTATATTTTTTTTTTATTTTTTATTTTTTTTATTTTTTTTTTTTATTTTTAATATTAAATTCAAAATAATTTCCAAAAAAAAAAAAAATATCATAAATGGTTTAAAAAATATCATAAAATTTTAATACACACTCAATGCATCAAATATAACAAATAATATGAACAATAATTCAGAAATTTTATTTTGGTCAATTTATAGAAATAAATTTTTAAATCATCAAATATTTTCAAATTTTGAAAAGTTTTATGATTATAACGGTTTATCAAAAGCAAGCTTTATATTAACCTTTAGTAATGGTATTGAAATAATTAAAGATAGATTAAAAAGTAATAGAATCATTATTATAAAAGACAACGATTTAAATGAAATATTTCAAAGGGTAAAAGAAAAAAATGAAGTAAATTTTCAGTTTTACATCCAAATATATAGGATACTCTTTAAAAAATATGCAACATATAGTAACTTGGGACAAAAGACTATCAAGTATAATATAGAAAATAGTGTCATGGAATCAACACTAAACAAGTCGATAGAATTTTCAAATCTATTAGCTTTGGAGGCATTTATCGGTGCCTTTGATTTAGACTATGGAACTGCTAGAAAAGCCTTAACCAACACAATGGGAAATATTATTATCAATAACTACAATACAATTAAAATTTACAAACATTTAATCAAAAAATATCAGATACCGACAGAATTATCTCCATCTCAAAATATATTACACAAAAATTTTTTAAATTTTCAATATAATCCACTTTATATAATAAACGAATTAAAATTAAAACATCTAATAAAAACAACCCATTTTATAATTGAAAATAAACATTTAGTTAAATTCAAAATAAGTTTAATCAACTATCAAAATTTAATCACTGGTCCAGACTCTTTAAAAAATCAGATAGAGTCACACTATCAGTATTTTACAACAGACCAGCTCAACTCAACTGTTCAACATCTTCTTTTACAAATACCATTACCTCAAAAAGAATCACCATCAGTAACTAGTCTATTGTTTTTCTATTTAAATATGATGACTGTTTGCTTTGAATCTTACAACATATTAAGTTTTTATAAAGAAATCAAAAAAATAATATTTAATAATGGCTCCCAACAAAAGCTACAACAACTATCAAAACCTGAAACAGAGTTTGAATATTACTACAACAAAGGCAATGAGGCTGAACCATCTACATTTTCCAACTCATTAGGATATTTATTTAATAAAATATTAGACTCAGAACAGTACAATAGGACAAAATCAATCCAAGTCATTTATAATTTACTAAAGAGTGGGAAAAAAGAAAATATACAGATAGTAGATTCATTAAAGATAAAGCACGGTCCATTCATAGATAGCCAATTAGATAGGGAAATGTTTAGGGATGCCTTTGGTTCTGATTTACTATTAGGTTCCACCATTACTAGTATAGAGGTTGTAGACTTTTATTTTCAAAACTATCAGGACCAGGTATTTAGAGATAATAATTCACTATGGAAATATATTGTCGATATTCAAGTACTAGAGCATTTTGAAAACTATATGCTATCTCTTGGAAGAATGTTTAAAGTATTTGGTTACACCAAGGCACCAGTAAAGAATGAGAGCGAAATTACAATTATCGATGTTACTACTGTTGAATGGAACCAAAAATTTTATTTAGAAAAATTACTTAGGGCATTAAAGAGACCAAATGTTTATTATATATATGAATCTAATATCGAAATCAATTTCTACTCTGATTATTTATTCGAATACTTTAACAGTGGGTGCAAAGAAAAGCAAAACACAGTTATCAATATATTCAAGGAAACATTTAAAGTCAAGGAGCAACATGAAAACCCATCCGTTTTCTATATAAAATCAATCATGTTATTAAACAAAAGAAATAAACTATTAAACTGGATTTTTGACAACTATGAAACCAGTATTCGGGATATCGATGGGGATGGTGATTTTATTATCAAATTATCATATCTCGACTCTAATCAAAAAAAAGAAATTCCCATAAAAATTTCTGCTCTTTCGCTATTTCTCGGTTTATACTATCGTGGTAGATATGAAGATATTATGAAACTATCAGAATCTAAATGCTTTTATTTAGATCAAGATCCCCTGTTTTATGTTCAAAAAATCAAAGAATGCAATTTAGATTTTTTAATATTTTTAATAAATCAAACTATATCAATTAGAAAAAATATTGACAATAATAATAATGAAGAAGAAAAAAATGATAGAGAAATTTTATTTTATGCTATAAAAGAATGGATTGTCCATTTATTAAATATTGCCTCCGTATATTACCCAGAAGTTTTAAAATATTTACAATCAAAATATACTAAAGATCAAGTTTTTGGAGCTATCGAAGAAGATTAATTCCTATACAACAGCCATTAAAAAAAATAAAATTTTTAGATTTTAAAGTTTTTTAATGTTTCTTAATTTTAATAAAAATTTTCTTTAATTTCTAAAAATAAAAAAATAAAAATAAAAAAAATAAAAATATAAAAAATATTATTTTTATGTAAGTTTTTGATCAGTTATATTTTTAATATAAAAAAAAAAAATTTATTATTTTTTAATAATAAATTAAAACACACACAAAAAAATTATTATTTTTATTTTTTTTTTATTTGTTTTTTTTTTTTTTTTTATATTAAAAATATTTATAAATTAGTGACTATAGACTAAAATTTTTAACTATAATAATAAAAAAAAGTTATCGAATTTTTTTATAAAATATATAGTTTTATTTACCAGATAATTAATAGCATAAACTAATTAAATAAAATGAATGGTTTAATAAAAAGAGTTGAAAAAATCAATAAAGAATGTGTGGATTCAGCTGATAAAAGTAAACAGTTAAATGCAGATGGTACAACTGATGCATTTACATTATTAAGAAGAAAAATTGGTTTAGATATTAAAGGTGTAAAAGAGGTGTGTATTTGTTTATATATTTTTAAAATAAATTAAAATTTTATTCTAATTTTATTTTTATTTTTATATTTTTTTTATTTTATTTTAAATTAATATATAAAAAGTTAATAACAGAAAGAGATGAAGCAGAAATTAATATGCCAGGGTCAGTTAGAACTGTTCAATTATCACATTCTATTAGGACTGCAATTCAGGATTTAAAAGGTGAATGTGGAAAACTACAAAAAATGCACGATAAAGCAGAACAAAGATATTTAAAGAAAAATAAAGAAGACCCAGAAAAATTAAAGAAATTAGAATTAACTAAAGAATCTTGTGAAATCGCCTGGGGACATGTTAAAGAATTAGAGTTACAAAATAAAAAAAGGGGTAGTGATACTAATCAATTTATTCCTAGGGATTCATCATCACCTAGAAATGGTGGTCAAATCAAACAACTACCAGATCTTGATCATGAAGATTTTATAGAATTGATTAAAACTGATAAACAAATAGATGGTGTATTAACCTCAATCTCTGAACAATTAAAAGTAACCATTATATCCTCTATTATTTATTTTTAATTATATACTAATTTCTATAAATTCACCATTAAAAGGTTACAGAAAACATTGCAAATGAAATGGGTAAAGCTGCTCAAAGACAAGGTGTACTGTTAGATGACCTTGATAAAAAAGCAGAAGAACTAGATGAAAAATTAGAAAATTTAAATGTTAGATTAGGTAAAATGCTAAAAGACATTCGTAAAGCCGATAGATTTATGATTGATGTCATTTTGGTTCTAATTTTACTTGGTGTTGGTGCTGCAATCTATGGAGTCGTTAAAAGAAAATAAAAATAGTATATCCCATAGAGAATAAACCTAACATAAATTTTATAAACAAAACAAATAAATAATATTATTAATAAATAAAAATTAAAATAAACCACATTATATACATTTTTTTATTCATGCTCTATATTTATTTTGCAATTTGTTAAAATTAAAGAAGAAACCCTCAAAACTAAATTTAAATAAAGAAAAAAAATAATAAAAAAAAAATGTAGTTCCTCAAAGAGAACTTGTATCATTAATATATATATATATAAATATCGAAAGGTTATTTAACTATGGTTTATTTTGTTGGTTTTTTTAATTAACCCATTTTATTGGTACTATTATACATTATTATTTATTACTAATTATT